CTTGTGCTTAGGACTGGCACCCGGGCAGCAGAGCTCGAGTCTATTTTTTTTTTTTTTTTGAGCAATAAGTGGTTCTTTGAAACGACAGTGTGACAGTGACCTCCCTTAGAGAAGACTGGGTTGAAGTCGGGAAGAGAATCAAAGGAGGCCATGAAGCAGACAAGGAGAAGGCAATGGCTTCTGACATTTTCATGACTTTCATTTCAGACTCGCCAAGCGCCTTGCAGACACGTTCAGAGGCTATTGAACTGGCACTTGCACAGAATAGACAAATGACAGGAAAGCATCATGGGGAAGAGGTACCTGTGCCTACTGCTAGAATCTTAAGGGCCTTGACCGTGACACAGACTCACACCACGTCCTTCTCTGACCAAAGGTTGCAACCTCTGCCCCTTGTTGTTATGAGCTGACTTACAGCCCTCCCAGATGCATCCCTTGCTACCCTTAACAGTGCTTGGAAGACTCTGCTAAAGAATCATTTATTTATGTCTCTTCAACAAAGTCGTACTCTTTGTCTATCATGTGCTAGAGTGGCTAGTGCTTACCATCTCTCAAGATCACGGCCAACACCGCTCACAGGTCAACCTGCCATGTCTCAGATAACCAAGATGCGGGCAGCCATCCCCAGGTACGATCCATTGTTTATGGCCCTCTCCTCCTTAGGACTCTTCGGGACCTTCCCCCTTCTCCAAGGTGGGCACCCACATCCTCCATAGAGCCCCAGAACCCTGTGTCTCCTCCCATATCCCCACGACCAGCCTCATTCCTGCAGCCTGATCTCTCTCCCTCTGCATTCTCTCTCTCCTAGCACCTCCAGAGGCAGTAGGACCTTTGAACATCCTGGCCCTCTGCCTACAAGGGCCCCCAAGTGCCCCCCCCCCACATACTGCTCTACCTAGTTAATTCTTACTAATTTTGGAATCTAAGCACCAGCTTCACTTTCTCAAGGGGCTTCCTGTGATCTGCTCAGCCCCTGGTCTAGGCCAGGTCTCCTACTCCTCACCTCTGGAGGTCCTGGCCTGGTTGTGCACCTGTCTCCCCAGCAGACCTTCCTCTCATGTTGGTTCATTACATACATGAACCTGGAGTACAGCTGGACATTTGGCACTCAGTCCTGGTATTGAATCAGTGAGCATGAGCAAACACAAGGAGTAAATCTGTTTTGCATTCGTCCCAGGCTAAGCCTTAGGTGTGGAGGTGAAGTACAGTAGAAGGAGCATGAACTTTGGAGTGGGACAGGTTGCAATCATGCCAGCCTCACTTAGCACCCACGTGGCCCTGGAGAGGAGCTGAGAAAGAAGGATTGTGCTGGGCCAGGAACCAGGCAAGGGGTTTAAGCCTACCTTCTCCTTCTGTCCTCACAACATCGTTGTTCGGTATTATTACTTTCATATTACAGACAGGCAGGTTGTGGCCCTTGGGGTATTTCCAAAGCACTCCAGAGAAGGGTGCTGGGTAGCCAGGGAGTCACACACCCCAGGAGGCTCTTGGTTTAACCAAAAGTTTCCACCAAATGCAAGAAAGTTTTTTGAAAATTCTGTTTTAATTTTAATACTTTGGTAAATTTGGTATTCTGTTCTCTTCTCAATATGACCACTTGAATAAGGTCAGAATATTTAAAAATTTTTATCAAAACATAACTTTAGGGAGAGGCATTTGATGTGGTAGTTAAGCAGCCACTTGGGATGCCAGCAGTCTTGAATCAGAGTGCCTGGTTCCAGTCCTGGTTCTCCTCCCCTTTGGATCCAGCTTCCTGCTAATGTGCACCCTGGGAGGCAACAGGTGATGGCTCAAGTATTGCGGTCCCTGCCACCCACAGGGTAGACCAGGATTGAGTTCCAGGTTCCTGGCTTTGGCTTGGCCTGGCTGTTGCAGACATTTGAACCAGTGAATGGAAGACTTTCTCCCTCTCTCTCTCTCTCTCTCTCTCCCCACCTCCACCCCCACCTTTCAAATAAAATGAAAATAAATGAAATTTAGAAGTGGCTTTGCAGGAAGAATAGTCCAGGTATTCCTTTGTGTCTTCCTGTCCTTCTGAATTTAAGCATCTCAGATTGAGAAATAGGGCGCTAGCAGGGACTCCCCCTATATGGCCCCCCAAGGTCAAACAACTCCTCCTCAGCTGTGATGGGAGTAATGGGGGGTGTGGTTGGGGCACCCCCTGTGCTGATCGCTGGGCATCCTCCTGCCCAGGGGTCCTCCCTTCGCAGACCTCAGCCCTGGGGGTCTCTGCTCAGGATCCGAATGAGGCTGGGTTGGAGAGGAGGGAGGTTTGCGATAATATCTTCCAGATGTCAGAAAGATGACGTTACTTTTGCAATTTAATTGCTTGTAATAATGAAGGGGTTCAGAAAAGCAGGGAGTAATTAAAGATTTTGGGTCAAGCAGAAGTTTAGGTTTTAATGATATTGGCAGGGGCATGGGACAGGGGCCTCCAAAGCCACAACCACCTACCCTTTTGGAGAAGACTGTGGCTACGGCAGCTGTATTTTATAAACCAAAAATATGGCCTGACAAAGGAACCAAAAGCACACATAGAGAAGCCCACCGTTTTTGACTCTGGAATTCATTTTTTATAAGCCTTAACAAAGGAATAAAAATAGATCTATACACTAATAGATTTTAAGTCGCCTTTTGAAGAAAAAAATAATAAAAGTAACTTTAATCGGGACTCCCCCCAGAAAATCTGCATTATAAGTAAACATGCCTCACAAGAGGGAAATGACTTTTTCACTTTGACGTATACACAAACTTGTGGGTTTCAGTTTTCATCTTGTTATAGATTCAGTCCCTTGGTCAATCATTGAACTCTACTGCTTCAGTTCCTTCAGCCAGAATTCTAAAAATTGCCATGGGTCTTTATGAGTTTGAAATGCCATGAATCCATGCCTGCCTGCCTAAATGATTTCCTATCTTATTTAACAAATTGTCTTATTCCTTGGTAGAAGAAGAAAAAGCCATACAGACAGGCATACCCCTCCCCCAGCTGTAATGCCCCACCCTCAGCCTTCTCTGCCTGCCCCTCCCCTCAACAAAGACCTCAGTGATCTCGTGCTCTGTGCCCACGTCTGGATTCGCAGTGTAGACTCTCAGCAGCAACTGGAAGGTCGGGTGTGAATCAATCGTTAGAGAAGGAATTATGTTACTATGTGTGTTTGTTAGTGTTCAGGAAGCTGCTCCATCCCTCATCTCCCCCAACCTGCTCCAAGGACATGTATCATTTATTAGAACACTTTGTAAATTTCTAGTGTGAAGCAAAGCAGTCTGTTCACAAAGTATATCACGAACCTACACAGTGAGGCTCACTCTAACATCAGGCGGTGGAAGAAGGTTAGTAGTGTGATAGGGAATGTTTTTTATAGCATGTTGATATGTAGTGAGCTGAAATACGTCGGCAGCTTTGTTGATAGGTAATCACACCTCCCCCAGTTCACCCAAGTAAAGCATGCAGTTGCGTGATTTTTAGTAAATGGACAGAGTTCCTCAGACATCATAATCACAGAATCCCAGGAAATCCCATCACTCCATAAAGAAACTTCTGGTTCCTAGGCCCCTAGGCAGTCACTCACCCGCGCCTCTGCACTCTTCTCTCCACCTCCAGTCCCGAGCAACCATTAATCTATTTTTGTCAGCTTTTTTCACTCATCTTCTTTGTAAATTTGCCTGGTTGGATGTTGCATATGGTGCAGAGTTGACAGGGAAAAAAAAGCTCTATTGTACCATAATTTCAATTATGATATAACTTCGTGAGTATACCTACATAGAGAAATGGAAGCACCCATAAGTACTCGAGTTGATTGTTCTCAATCATTTACATTTGTCTTTGTTTTCCACCTTCGTGCAATGATAATGGGTCGCTCTACCAAAAGTTCATTTTTGCATTTTGCAAGTTTTTAGAACATTTAGTCTAGATGGATGTTGCTGTAAAACATGCAATGACACATATGAACCCTGCTGATGTGCGGTAAGACGTGTTGGACTCACGGTGACAAGTGTTTCTATTTCATGATGAACACCTCTTTTGAAGCTTAACAGCTTTACTTTTAAATCCATGTTTTCCCAACCCTTTATTATAAATTTTATTTCTGTTCACATATGGTATAATTTGTAAGAGACTTTTAATTCCCTCTGGAATAAGGCCCAAGATAAACATATAGGCAAATAATATATTGATCCGTTTATTTATTTGTTTTCATCTACTTGACAGAGAGAGAAAATAAGCGTCTTTCATCTGCTTGCTCACTCCCCAGATGCCCACAACAGCCAGGGCAGGCTCAGTCCGAAGCCATCCAGGTCTCCCACATGGGTGGCAGAGCTGAAGCAGTTAGACCATCATCAGCCATCTCCCAGGGTGCACTGGAAGGAAGCTGGATTGGAGGCACTTGGGTACAGGATGTGGGCATCCCGGGCAGGGAGCTGACCCCCCGTGCCACAATGCCTGAGCAGAGCTATGGTTCATTTGAATAGAGATGCAATAGCCAGGGATGAATGGGAGAGGAAACTCATCAGGGATTGAACCCTCAGCAGACCTAAATGGTCCAACTGCATTCCGAGGTTTTGCTAACAAGGAGCACAGCTCAGTGATGTAGGGTCTCTCCGCTTGCTCCCTTGAGGAGTTCCTTATGTGCAAGGAAATGTCTCCCACTCCAGCACTAGACAAACTCTATCAGAGTTATGTATGGTGTTTATGAAAAACAGGAGACCTACTGAACCTACGGACCAGGGGTGATGTGGAGGAATTTTTGCTTAACGACTCCCCAGGCGCTTCTAGTGTACACAAAAGTTCAGGAACCCCGGGAAGAAGGCAGGAACGGGCACTGGCTACAAGGCTCCAGCCTCCAGCCTCCAGCATGCCCGTGCCACCCTGCGCTTTGGCAATCTGGAGCTTCCAGAGAGCCAGGGCCCCACTTCGACAATCGTCTCCCTCCCCCACCCCGCCCCCACCAGCTCCAACCCCCAGGGTTGGGATTCCAGCTCCACCCTACAGAGAAACCATTCGTGTGTGTGAACAACTCGCAGCCACAGTTCAAGGCTACAAACCTTTGCAGATGGCACTTTTGCTACAGGGCTCTCTGGCCGGGGACAGCCTGCCTCTGTACTGGCCCGGGGCTAAGGCAGGTCACTCTGGAGCCCTTTCCAACACAGAGGAGGGCCTTCAAGGGCCCTGCTTGTCTCAGGCTTGGCCTTAGTTGTTCACACACACGATGTGAACGCAGAGAGCAGGTCAACACAAGTTGTTTGCTGAAGTCAAAGACGGGAGGCGGGCTCCCTGGCACCGGCGGCTTGTCTTTCCCTGTCAGTGCGCTCCTGAGACTGCGGGTAACGAGGAAAAAGTCCTGAATGGGAACTGACGCTTTTGTCGCCTTGATTTTAGGTCTGCAGATCCAGAAAGAAAGTGATTTCTTCATTGAGACTGAGACACCCCCAGGGCAGTCTCGAATCAGCAGTTTCCCTAGTGAGTTGGGCAAGGCGTGCGTGTGCGCCTGTGCGTGCTTTGAAGAAAACCCAGGTTCTCTGCAAAAAAGAAGATCCGTCTTGATGGCCCAAGAAGGTGGCTGGCGGCTGAGAGAGCTTCTGGAGCTGGAACGAAGCTTCAGAACCACACACCCAGCACAGACGTGCTCCAGGACACAGACCCGTCAAGAGAGTTTCCTTTTTTCAGGGAACCTGGGTTTTCTTCAAAGCAGGGAAAAACGTTCTTTTCTTGCTTCCTAGAAATCAGAGGCGCTGTGGGCTGAGTCTCTACTTTGCTGATATTCTAGGATCCAGCATCTGAAAAGCCCTTCTCCTCTTCAAGTGCGTGATTCATTCCCAGGATGGCCACATAGGCACATGCTCGAGTGTGGGTAAGTGCAGGTTGTGTGTGATCTGCGTGTCCCAGTGTGTGCGGGCTGTGTGTCAGCACAGCTGTGTGGACCTAGTAACGGGAACCTGTTCTGAGAAGGTGACCTCAGGCAGTCGTAAGGTGATGTGACATGCCCCTCCTCCCCTCCTTGGGGTGGTGGGGATCAAAGCAAGCAGAGATTAGATCCAGCATAGGAGAAAATAACAGTGCAACACGCACAAGGTGTGTGAGCCTGCTGCCAGTGTCACAGCATATGGGTTTTTACAAAGTGTATTTATTTATCTTATTTATTTGAAAGAGAGATAGAGAGAGAGCTCCCATCCACCTATGCACCCCCACATGCCCACAACTGATTGGGGTGGGCCAGGCCAAAGCAAGGAGGTTTGAGCTCAATACGAGGTCTCCCATGGAGATGGTAGGGGATCCAAGTACTTGGGCCATCAACTGTTGCTCCCCTAGGTGCACATTAGCAGGAAGCTAGAATGGAGAGCAGAGCTGGGACCCGGATCCAGGCTCTCCAATATGGACTGTGGTTGTCACAGGCAGAGGCTTAACTGCTGTGCCAAACACCCATCCTAAGCATATAGTTTTGTAATAATTTTTTTTTTTGAGAGGCAGAGAGACAGATAAAGTCAGATAGAAAGCTAGAGAGCTCCCACCTGCTGGTTCACTTACCAAATTCCTATAATGACGGGGGCTGGGCTGGGGCCAGAGCCAGGAGCCAGGAGCCAGGAGCCAGGAGCCAGGAGCCAGGAGCCAGGAGCCAGGAATGCAATCCAGGTCTCCCGTGTGGGTGGCAGGAACCCAATTACTTGTATCACCTGCTGCCTCCCAGACTCTGCGTTGGCAGGAAGCTGGAGTCACAAGTCAGACTGGGGAATCAAACTAAGGCATTCCAACGAGGGATGTTGGGCACCTTAACTGCCAGGCAAAATGCCTACTCCAAACATTTTTTTATAAGGAGAAGGAATACACTCCAAAATGATGATAAAAGCATGGTGCAGTAAACACATAAACCAGTACCATAGTTGTTTATTAGCAAGTATAGCACAATGCTGCGTAATTGTACATGCTCCATTTTTTTTTTGACAGAGTTAGACAGTGAGAGAGAGAGAGAGAGAGACAGAGAGAGACAGAGAGAAAGGTCTTCCTTCCATTGGTTCACTCCCCAAATGGCCGCTATGGCCAGCGCGCTGCGCTGATCTGAAGCCAGGAGCCAGGCGCTTCTTCCTGGTCTCCCATGCGGGTGCAGGGCCCAAGGACTTGGGCCATCCTCCACTGCCTTTCTGAGCCGCAGCAGAGAGCTGGCCTGGAAGAGGAGCAACTGGGACAGAATCCGGCGCCCCAACCGGGACTAGAACCCGGGGTGCCGGTGCCGCAGGCGGAGGATTAGCCTATAGAGCCGCGGCGCCATCCGCTCCATCTTTCTACACCTGGCAGTACAGTAGGTGTGTCTACACCAGCACCAGCATACACACAGGAGTGCTGTGCTGTGCTATGATGTTACAAAGGCTGCAAGGTCACCAGGTGATAAGAATTTTTCAGCTCCATCCTAATCTTACAGGACCACTATCCCCCATGCCATCTGCCACTTACCAAAACATTGTTATGTGGTGCATGACTGTGTGTCCATGAGGGGTATGTGTGTGTGTGTGTGTGTGTGCGTGCGTGTGTATCTACAAGAGTGTGCATGTACTGCAAACAACCAAAAATGAACACGATATGGAAAATACCAAAAGTTATGAGGCTTCTCGCTGTGTTGTCACTGATTCAAACCATGCTGAGTTTCGTCAGTCATCTGGATCACCACCTGGTGCTCCCTCCCTGCTAAAGGGGTTAGAAAAACAGAGAAACGACTCAGGCTCCAAACATTTCAAGTGCATGGGCATAGGTGCACCCGTCCAGCCTACCACCCCTGGAGCCAATCAGCACTCTGACTGGCAGAACGCTGTGGACCAGGAGTCTCACGGCTGAAGATCAAGGAGGCTCAGCTTCCCCAGCAGTGCCCATCACAGGTTCCCCCCAGCCCAAGGCTGGATGGCAGGGTCAGTCCAGGAGCCAGGCTGCTGCTTTTCAGAGGAACCTGGCATGTAGCCAGCCAACGGTGGCACCATCCACCGCGGAGGAACCTCATGGAGGGAGATGCTGCTCAGCTTCACAGCAGAATTTCCCAGAGAGAGTGCTCTTAATTGAAGGGCTTTAACCATTTGCATACATTTTATGTCAGCCACATTTATTACATGGGATGCAAGATGCTATCTAACTTAGCTAAAATGATACTTCGTAGTTCCTCAATTCTGAAGTACAACCTTCTTCTCCAATATTTTCACATTCTTTCATTCAGGATACAGCTCACACATAATCCATTTCGTCAGCAGCATCTTTCCATTCCTTGGAAAAGACAAAAGAATGGTGAGTTTTGCAACAGATGGCGTCTTCGCTTTTATCAAATAATGCTGTCCGTTGACTTCCATGCAACACCTTGGGAATCCAGGTGTGTGCTTTAAGGGAAGTGAGATTCCTACTCCTGGGGGATGCCTCATTATCAATCTGGAGTCTAGCAGGCTGGCAGCAGGTAGAATAAGAAAACCCCACTGCTGGGGCTGGCGCTGTGGCGTAGTGGGTTAAGCTGCTGCCTGTGGTGCTGCATCCCACTTGGTACCGGTTCGAGACCCGGCTGCTCCACTTCTGATCCAGCTCTTTGCTATGGCCTGGAGAAGCAGTCAGTGGAAGATGGCTCAAATCCTTGAGCCCCTGCACCTGCATGGGAGACCCGGAAGAAACTCCTGGTTCCTGGCTTCGGATCAGTGCAGTATGGCCATTTCGGCCAACTGGGGAATGAACCATCAGATGGAAGACCTCTCTCCCCCTCTCTCTGCCTCTCCTTCTCTCTTTGGGTAACTCTGGCTTTCAAATAAATAAATAAAACTTTATTAAAAAAAAAAAAAGAAAACCCTACTGCCGCACATGGCAGTGCTATCTGCCACCTCACTCCTCTGGCTGTAATCCCAGGTTTCTGGAAGTCAGAGTCCAGCCTCAGTCCTCAGCTGAGCACGCAGGGGCCAGTGTAGGCCTTTGCCTATGGGTAGCATGTTCCTGGCCCTTCAGGTTTCAGATTCAGGGCCCTTACTCTCTCCCCTCCTGCTCCTCTCTGGGCCCTGTCCCATCCCAAGTGCTGCACGGTTCCCAGAGCTGGGGTGAATGGATTGGCTGTGATGTCCAGTGTGCTATCTCAGGCCTTCAGGCTCTGTGTTCTGCATTTCACAGACCTCATCTCATCGGGCACGTGGAGGACACTCAGGGAGCTTTGACGACCAGCCTGGCATCATGAGCCCTTCAGTGGCGGAGTGGGGCATGAGCCCAGCAGTCTCCACTGTGGCCGGATCAGGTCCAGGGTCACTGACCCCACAGCCTTGGGCACCTTGCCTAACCTCAAGCACATCTGGGAATTCACCCATCCCCCTCCTAGACATCTAGATGTGCCCTTGTGTTCCCCACCTGAGAATGTCCCCTTCCTTCTCCTTCAGCCTTGAAGACGGCCACTGATCCAGGCAGACAACTTGGCGTTCTGGGCACCAGGTGGGCCTGGGGGAGTTAATCATCAGGGCTTGGCCAGGTTAGCATCATAGCAGAGTGGTAGGTGAGTGGAGGCCGGGGCCCCAAGCCGAAGACCACAGGCACCAGGACCTGCCAAGTCCAAGGCTGATCAGTCGTGCCCAGCATTCCCCCGGCCTCAATGCAGAGCTGGCCAAGGCACCGGCTGGGGACAGAGTGGGCTTCCCCCAAAAGCAAGGCTGCCAGTGGACTAGGTTGCTGGGGGCAGGAGGAGCGCCACGGTCTCCCCCCAACCCCTGCCGTGAACCGTGAACTCACTGTTTGGGCCACTTCTTACGGGAAGCAACACCCCCCTCACATTCTTTTTGCCACAGCGGGGCTAGTGGCCAACTCCTTCTCTGAGGCCTCCTTGTCCGAAGCCCGGGCAGCTCCCGCAGAGGCAGACGACTCGGGCGTGCGGACAGTGCCCGATTGAGTGCCCCGCTGCCCACTGGGCCCCGGCCAGCAGTCCTGGGGAACGTGCGGCCGCCGGCGCCCTGGGCAGGGGCAGGCCGGGCAGACCCGGCTTAGCGAGATCCCTGATGTTGCGGTTACCCTGGCCCCGTGAGTGCCGACCACAGGGTGCCCGAGAGGATGCTGCAAACCCCAAATCCGGCAGTGGAGGCAAAGGGGGTGGGGGGGGATGTGGCAGCCCTGCGCCAGGCCAGGCACCCGCCCTGCCCTCCCTTCCTGTTCCTCTCGCGGCACACCCCATCCGGAGCATCCCGCTTTTTCCAGAGCTGGGCTGAACGGGCTTGTTTCTGTACTGACGCTCTCTCTCACCCCCTGCACAGCTTTGATGACAAGTGGCCCTTTTTCTGTGCCGTGCGCTCGCTCAGACCTGTGCGTGCGGTGTCCCTGCCAGGAATGAGTGCCCCAGGCACAAGGTCGTCCCCCCACCCCCACCCCGCTTCCGGGACTCCCTTCCTGTCCCTTGTCACACAGAATTCCCTTCTCAGGGCCACCCCATCTCCCGGATCGATGCCTGTGTTTCCTTCCTCACTTTAGCTTCTCCCCCTAGGCACTGGCTGTTACTTGACATACTGCATATTTTGTTGTGTGTGTTTTGTTGCTAAAACTCTCCAGGGCAAGGATTCTGTCTAGTTTGCCATTGTATCGGCTGTCCCTAGAAACACAGCTGGCAGAAAGTAAACAATCACAAATATTTCTGGATGAGGGCAGGTGTTGTGGTGCCTCCTGGGCCTCCCACATCCTACATTGGAGTCCCTGATTCAAGTCCTGGCCACTCCGCTTCTGATCCACATACCTGCTGATGCGCTTGGAAGCAGCAGATGATGACCAACTACTTCAATGCCTGCCACCCACATAAGAGACCCGGATGGAGTTCCTGGCTGCTGACTTGGAACTAGCCCACACCCAGCTATTGTGGCCACTTGGAGTGTGAACCACCAGACAGAAGATGGATCCTTCTCCCTTTCAAATAAATAAATAAATATTTAAAAATATTCCTGAGGTTGGAGGGGAGGCATGGCACTGTGGTATAACATGTTAGGCCGCTGCCTGTGACGGCGTCGTCCCATATGATTTGAGTCCCGGCTGCTCTACATCCCATCCAGCTCCCTGCTACTGCACTTGCGAAAGCAGCAGAGGACAGCCGGAGTGCTTGGACCCCTGCACCCACTTGGGAGACCCAGAGGAAGCTCCTAGCTCTTGGCTTCAGCCTGGCCCAGCCCTGGCTGTTGCAACCATTTGGAGAGCAAATCCGTAGATGAAAGATCTCTCTCCTTCTGTTTTTCCCTCTTTCTCTCTCTGTAACTCAGCCTTTCAAATAAAAAAATTAAAAAAAGATATTTCTGGAGGCACCTTTCCACGTGTCCTCACAGAGTGGGAGAGGTGAGGGGCTCTCGGGGGCCTCTTTTATGAGGGCACCGTGTTAGTGTGGTTTCTGTTGCTATACCAAGATACCTGGGGCTGGGCACTTTATAAAGAAAAGAGATTCATTTGGCTCATAGTTCTGGTGGCTGAAAGATCCAAGCAGCATCGTGCCAGTGTGGCAGGTGCACCCGTGTCTCTGGCAGTGTCCCAACAAGGCAGAGAACCAGAAAGGGAGCCATCCGTGAGCACAAGAGACTGAAGATGTCTTGGGGTGGCCTCGTTTCGTAACAGCCCACTCTCAGGAGAAAGAACACTGCATAGGGCCAGCATGATTTCTCCCCATGAGCCATGTCCCAGCACTTACCCAGTGGGGTGGGGTGCACTGCCCACAGAGAGCCCACTAACCAGTGTTGGTGGAGGTGGAATAGCGTTTTGTTCAGTTCTTTGATTGTAGAGGGGAAAATGCTTTGTCTGCCTGAGAACATCCCCCAGTGTACCTGGTCCTGTGGGCCCTGCTGTCCACAGGGCCTTGGACTCGCCTCTGTGGGGGCCTCCTTCTCACATGCGGCTTCGGGCTCAGTGTGGACACCTGACTGTGGTGCCAGCCGCTAAACACCAATACCCACAAGCACGGGGCTCGGACCTGCTGATTAGATTCCTGTTACAGGTCTGGCGAGCAAAGACATGTGGAAGCTTCTGGAGAAAGGGTGGGACCTGCAGACACACTTGGTTCAGAGGATAGCTAGGAGATGGAAGGGCTGCAGGGGCTGAGCCTGGCAGGTGCTCAGGAGAGAGAGGGGCTGGCTCAGGAGGGACCTGGGTGGAAAGAGGAACAGCCTGTTGGGGTGCAGGGGCTGGGGCAAAGGCACTGGCCAGCAGACAGAAGGGATGGAGTAGGGTAGGTACCAACTCCTCTTTCCTTTGGGACTGAGCCCCTCTCATGCAGGCACCTGCTGCAGCCCCACGTCTCTCCTCCCTGTTTGGTTGGTGGGGCAGCTCGCAGGTGTCAGGAATTCCTCCTGGCTCCCGCTTCACACGCGGAGGTGTTCAGGCTCGCTGCGCCAGGTGCTTCTGCACAGAGCAGCTGAGCACCGTGGAAGGGCTTGGCAGCTCCTGAGTGACGGGGCTGGCGTGGAGAGCGGTCCTCACCCAGGGCCTAAGAGCTCCCTCACCCCCAGCCGCCAGCCCACACCCAGTGCTGTTTGGCCTTGGTGAGAATATTCCTGTGACGGGAAGCAGATGACGTCTTTGTGTCCCCAAGGCCACCACACCTGCCTCCCTGGGACCTTCCAGGAACCAGGGCCACAGCCATCTGCGGATCTCTCTAAATACCTGGCAGTCTTCTCTGCAGTGGGCTGAGTACAGCCCGGGGCTTCTTGGCTGATTTTCTTGGCATTTTCTTCATTGTTTTTGCTTCTCGTTCCTATCAAAAGGCTGGGGGTGGAGTTGGGCTTCCTCATGGACGTGGCTCAACCTTGCCCTCCATGCCAGGCCACTGGAAAGCGGCTCCTCCTCCAGAACTCCGGAAGGGGAAGAAGAGGTTTAGGTCACTGAGCAGACTCCCAGCTCCCCAGTAGGCCATCTTACTCCTTAGCACTTCGTAGCGCAGTGCCATTGCAGTAGGTCCCTTTGATCTCTGGCTTTGCTTTTTCCAGTTTGCATTTCTCGTGGGCAGCCGCAGTCATCGGAAAAAATTAAGTGAAAATTTCCAGAAATAAATAGGTCATGCATTTTAAATGGCATGTTGCTCTGGGTAGTGGGATGAAATCGTAAGCTGCTCCGCTCTGTCCTCCCAGGATGTGAATCCTCCTTTTGTCGCTGTGTCCACACTGTGTATGCTACCTGCCCATTAGTCATGTAGCGGCCACTTCAGTTATCAGACTGACTGTCACAGTGCAGCAGGGCTTGTTTAAATCACCTTTATTTTCCGTAGCAGTGGCCCTGAGTGCAAAGAGCAGTGATACAAAGGAGACATCGGGGCATAAAGCATGGAAGGACAGGCGAACTCTGCTGCTGTAAGTGGGGTTTCGGGGTGTATAGGGAAAGTCATGGCGCTGAGTACAGTACTCTGCACAGGGTCAGGCGTCCATGGGGTCTCAGAACATATGCAGATGAGGGAGGCTGCCCACACCTATAACATTGGAAGATAGAGAGGCAGTGTCTAATGCCTTTCCCAGTGACCGGCCGGCCAGTTCCGCTCTGTGGCAAGGTCTCAAGGTGTTGGTAGGGCGTCACTGAGGGAGGACTCCTCTGATAGGTACATCCAAGGCTGTGAGTCCATCTTGCAAGGCTCACCTTGGCAATGGCCTCTTCCACTCCTTATTTTACCCCTTAACTAGGGAGCCAAGGGACAGGGAAGAAGCAAATGGAAATTGAATAAAGATCAAGACACCTTTCAACAAAGACAAAGAGGGACTACATGTTCGGCCTGGTGGTTAAGATGCCCATGTCCCACATCAAAGTGCTTGTGTTCAATTCCCATTGCTGGCTCCTGACTCCAGCTTCCAGCTAATGCAGACCCTGCGAGGCAGCACTGGAGGCTCAAGGAATCGGATTCCTGACACCTGCACTGGGGACCGGGGTTTGTGCTTCTAGCTCCTGGATTTGGTCCATCCTAGTCCCAGACATAGCAACCGTCTGGGGAGTGATCCAGCAGATGAGAGCGTGCGCGCTCTCTCTCTCTCCCCCTCCCCCTTTCTCTATCTTCCTCAAATAAATAAACAAAAAATTATTATATATAAAGCAGAAGGATGAGACCATCAGTTAGGCCAAGAGACAGTGAAACCATGGCCGACCTGAGCAGCAACTCACTGTCCTTAGCCTGGTATTTAACCTTTTTGGTTGATGATTAGTTTTAGATAGCTACTTTGATTTCCTGTATCCCGCTGCTGCTTTTTGAGTGAAAACCATGCATAAGCAAAGGGCAGTCCACCCAGGGGCACTGGTCGGTCCAGAAGTTCTGCACAGCTTCCGTCACTCCATCTCACGCACTCCCTCTAGTCACGCAATCACCCAATGGGGAAAATACAGCACGGGAACGGGAGGAGGCAGCAGGGCTCTCCAAAGCGGGTAGAGCAGCAATGGACTCGAGCTCTGTGATTTTGGGGTCACTATCTCGGGTGAACTTAGAACCAGACATACGCGGTGGGCATGGCCCTAAGGTTATATGCAGAGGACTTCAGTAAAACCTGCTCTCCAGGGACCTCAAAGTAGACACAGGTCTGAGGGATCCTGCTTTTGGGAGTGCACATCAGCTTCCATCTTGGAGTTCTTATTACTGCTTATCCAGCCCAGGCTTCAGGGGAATCCCAACCTGGCCACCTGGTGTCAGGGTCTCCACTGGCTCTTCTCCCTGCCTGCTGCCCCTGACTCCTCATGCTCCTGCCCCCGCACAGCCATTTCTCTATGGGATTCTGTCCCCTCTCACCAGGGGCTCCCCTTAGCCTTGAGATCCTCCTAGGGAGAACCAAACTGAAATATCTGACTGGGGGCACATGTATTAAAGTTGGTGGAGGGGCGGTTGCAGGTGCTGTGGCTCTTTGGGTTTAGCCGCGGTCTGTAGCACTGGCATCCCACATAAGCTCTGGTTAAAGTCCTAGATGCTCTACCTCCCATCCAGCTCCCTGTTAATGGCCTGGGAAAACAGCAGAAGATGATCCAAGTGCTTAGGCCCCTGCATCCACATGGGAGACCTGGAAGAACTCTTGGCTCCTGGCTTCGGCCTGGCCCAGCCCCTCTCATTGCAGCCATTTGGGCAGTAAACCAGCAGGTGCATGATCTCTGTGTGTGTGTGTGTGTGTGTACCTCTCCTCTCTCTCTATAACTGTGATTTTCAAATAAATAAATAAATCTTAGAAAAATAAAGTGGGGGACGACTTTTTGACACCCTTCAGATCCTGTTGGTTACAATCTCACGCTTCACCAAAACCAAAGGCCAAACTTTCTCTAGAAGAAAGAAATCTCTACTCTGTCCTCAAAGAGGCTGTTTTGAGCCACGCTGCTTTAGAGTGTCTCGGGCCGCCCACGTCCCAGATCAGAGGGCCTGGATTTGAGCCCCAGCCCCACACCCATTCCAGCTTCTTGCTCACGCACATCCCGAGAGGAAGTTGGTGGCTCAAGTACTTGGGTCCCTGCTGCTCCCATGGGAGACCTGGATCGAGTTCCTGGCTTCTGGCTTTGGCCTGGCCCAGTCCTGACTATTGTGGGCATTTGGGAAGTATAAGGAGAAACCAGGTTTGCTGAAGTGGCTGGGGGGCTGGGGGTTCGGCTGTGGGATCAGCGCCATCTCATGCTGTCTGATGGGTTCTCTCCCTTGTTTTTATGTGGAGAAAATCTCCCTAATGCAAGTGATTTTGAAAGACTAACACTAAAATGTAAATTGTTAACAATGCTCACAGGACAGAAGGAGGACTCTTCAGGAGCATATGAGGGGTTTTAAACAGTGTATGACCAAACAGAATTAGAAGGTAAATTTGTTTGGGTGCAAAGACATCTTGAAGCCCCTACACAGTATTTCATAATATGCATTTTCATGGCCTATTTTTGCAGACCCTTCATATGCCTGGATTTCAAAAATTTTTGACACCAGAATAATTCTATTTCCCATGAACTTTTTGAAATACCCCCATACTTCTGTAGCTTGAGACACCTACAGAATCTACATGAATGTGTTGTTTCCATCCAGGATGACAGTTTTCTTTCTTAACTTTGTGGACAAAAGTGTTTTACTCTCCACCAAAGCAGCATTTCCTAACGAATGATATTCATTCCACTATGGTCAAGTGCCTGAAATGATTTTAAAGGTTTCATGTATGTGTGTGTGTGTGTGTGTATTTATTTGTTTTCTGTTTATTTGAAAGGGGGAAACAGAGAGAGGCAGACAGAGAAGAGAGAGAAAGAGAGAGAGAGAGGTCTTCCATCTGTTCACCCACTTCCCAAG